ATATTTTTTTTTCGTAACCACAATTATCATCCGGTTATTTTATAACGAAAAACCGTGAAATTTAAAATTAAAAACAAAAAAACAGAGGTCAAATTTCGTCAATCAGATATTATATCTGATTTCCGAAACACAAAAMAGAGAARATTAATTTTTGCGTCTCCATAATTATAAAGATTTATTTTTAAATCTTTTCCTCATAAAATTTGGTTTTAAAAAAGTTAAAAAAAATACAACTTTAATTTTTAAAAAATTCGAAAAAAAAAATTCACGGGTGAACAGTACGGATCGCCCCCGGGCGAGGTCAAACACGGTTAACGAGGTGAACAGTAATCTCGACTTTTGAGATTTTTTTTTTTTTTACTTTTTTATATGGGATCGCCCCCATTATGTACGGGGGCGATCCGGGTGGTTATTTTGGCAAAACCTCTAAATGTGGTTATTTTGTGGCAAAGGGTTGTGTAAAACGGTTATTTTTATAAATTTCCCTTTTTTGTTCTATCAAAAGAGATGGAATAACCTTGGACTAAGGTTAAAATTTACTTGGTTACCCTCCAAACAATACAAAATTTAAAACAAAACTCTTCCAAAATCTGAAACCTAAAACTCTCCCCAATCTCAAATCTAACTCTCAAATCTGAAACCTAAAATTCCCCAAAATTCCAAATTTGAAATCTTAAACCTAAAACTTGTTCAAATCGAACTCTCATATCAAACTCCTCCTGGTCTACTTTTGAGATCGAACTCTCAGGTCGAACTCATCCTGATCTATGTTTGAAATTGAACTCTCAAGTCGAACCCTCTCAAATCAAACCTCTTCGTCCCTCAACGTCCAAACAAGGGGCGGATGGCTTAAGGGGCATAGGGGGGACATGGCCCCTATGCCTTTGCTTCTCCATGCTAGAATAGATTAAAAATTTAATTATATAATAATTGAAATTTTACTTCCTCCTCTTAATTATCATTAAAACAATATACATCAAGTCTAGTAAATGTTTTATTTAAATGATAACTTGATCTCTTCATTATTTGTGAAGCTAAATATTGTTTATTTTTCATTTTGATTAGGCAAAAAATTGTTGGTTTCTATAATTAGAGCTAAATATTTTATTGTGAAACAATTGTTAAGGAGATTTAGGAGCCGTTTACTAAACGCTAACCCGGTAAGTACTTACTGAGCAATTTTCCTTACCAGCTGGCAAGGGGCAAAAAAATCTTACCCGGTAAGAGCGATGATAAGAATGAAGAGTTTTACCCGGTAAGTGAGGGTGGCGACTCTTACCCGGGTAAACGCTTACGAGGTAAAATTGTTGCATAAGATACGTTTTGATGTACTACAATCTTACCCAATAAAATAAATAATAGTGTTGACTCTTAAGGTAAGCGTTTACCAGGTAAGCATTTAGGTAAACGGCCTCTTAGAGTTTTAAAATGATAATTTTATACTTAAATAAATACCTTAAATATTATGATTACAAAATATATTGAAATGAAGTTTTGATGATATAACGATCAAACAAAGTCTTCATAATTGTAAAATTAATAAAATATTAATAACAACCGTGATAAAAAGTAATTCATCGATTAAATAAACAATTGTTACTGCATGGCTTAGACGAAAATACAAGAGAGATATAATCAGACTCCATGACATGATACGATAAAACAATGTAATCAGTTTTAATAAATGGATGATCTTTTATATAATGTCCACAGGAGCGGAACCTTATGGGGGCCTTCGGGGGGCCATGACCTCCCCGCTTTTAAACTCAAATATTAAAATTGAGCTTTTAAGAGCATATATAATAAGCAACTCAATTAGTAATCATTTGTGGCCATTATTCTAGAGGTCTGTTTCAAAACCCCTCCGTTGCATTTTCCCCCTTTCAATTTATATTAAATTATTAGTTATTAATATTTAATTGTATGTATTAGTTTTTATATGATATATTAATTATATGTAAACATAAGTTGTTAGAGTAAATTACACTGGTAATACTATTTTTTGGTTAATACTTTGAATGTTTAAGTTTCTGGAGTAAATTATTTAATATATTAATTATATATAAATAATGTTTAAGTTCGTATTACTAATTTTCCGTTAATACTTTGAATGTTTCAAGTTTTAATCTTACATTAATCAATTTTTTTTCTAAAATTTAATAGTCTAAAAACGAATCATTTGGATTTATAAATTTTTACAATATTATACCATCTCCAGCATATTCTCTGAGGAGAATTAAAACTCTAATAAAATATTATTTTTCTCTCATAAACCATTAATATCAAGGATTCTTATCGGTGTGAATATGATAAAAAAAAATGTCTCTCTCATTTTAATCATTTTTGGTTTACACTCTCTCATGTTTTTTCCATTTTGGAGAGTTTTGGAGAGGCTGTTGGAGCAAAAATATGTCTAAAATCTTTATTTTCTCAATTTTGAAAAATTTATTGAAGATGCTCTTAATTCGGCCCCCCAAACTACAATAGTCGTGTTCCGTCCCTGCATTTAAAGGTTGTTTGTGTACCTCTTAATAATTCCATTAAAAATCGACATTTGAATCACTAAGAGATGAATCTTGTTTGACAAAAAAAATCTACCTCTTGAGCTTCCCAAAACCATTCAAAGCTCTAATCTCATTATAAACAATTACCAAACCACCATATTTTATTTTACACTATATCATAAGAACAACTTAATCATTCTGACCACTTGATCATCTTGTACCAAACCGTTACATTCTACAACACAAATTATTCATTGCTTAAGCAATCTTTTTATCTTAAGCACAATTTTTGCTTATCTTTCAGTGATCTGAATGAAATTTCAAAATCAGAACGTTTAGGATACATCTTTGAAAGGGCATGAAACCAAATAAGATTCGACTTTCTAACATTTTTCAAACTAATCAAAATAATGGATCCAAATAAGATCCGATTTAATCGATTATTATTAGTTATTCGGTTCAATTATCACGTATAAACCGAATAACGTATAAACCGAAGGAAGCCCTTTTATCTCAAACAATTGATTTGGCTTCAAAACCATTCCTTGAAAAGGTCTCATACTATACAAGAAACACAGCTATCTGTCTGTCTGTCTGCTCAAGTAATTTACAATATTACCCTCCAAAACCACCTATGGCTTATCCTTCTCTTGGATCTCGATTAAGGCTGGTGATGAACCCGCACTCATTTTGCTAGGCACGGGTGTGTTTTTACGAGACTGTCTCTTGGTAGGGACCAAGACGTTGTCTTTCCGCCACTTCTGATCACTCGCTTCGTCGTCATCATCATCATCATAATCATCATCTGAATCAGAATTTGCAGACTTGAAAATGGGATGGACGTATGCATTCTGAAGGTAACCTTTTAGGTTCAAGTTGGGTTCTCTTGCTCTTTCAAGTGTGTCTTTCATCATGGCTTCCTGTAAAACACCCCACAAAAACAAAAAAGTTACAAAGGGTAAAAGAGTCTTTTCCAGCAAAACACGATACTTGTCTCAACGTTGTTTCAACGGTTGTAAAAGCAAATGACATGTTTCCAGCTTCCATCCAAGCGCTACAAAAAAATCAGTTTTATAGAAGGCCAAGTGTCTGAATTAGAACAAGAGACTTTAAGTTCATAGGGCATCCTAACCCGTCTTTGGGCATCCTAACAAGTTTTTTAAGACAATTTTGAAATAATACATCGCATTTTAAGACAAAAAAACGAGTCTTTCTAGTAACGAAAGATATTGGGTTCAAGTAATGGTGTGTTCTTTTCTAGCAAAACTCTGATACTTGTTTCAACAGGCAACAAATTAGGTCTATGGTCTGGACTAAAAATTTGTTTCAATCGGTTTCCAAATCAAAGTCGAAACTCGTTTCAGTGGGCAAAACGGTCCAAGTTCATTGATAACAAAGAGCAAAAAGGTACGTACCTGTAACGGGTATCTGATAAACGCAGGCTCATACCGACCTTTACAGTACATATGGAAGCCAATAGTCAGAATTGGAAGTGCAAGAAGAAATGGCGTTGAAGTAGCAGCTTCTTTCGTGCTCAACAATCCCATCAGAAGTAGCTGTGATATCATCAACGCGGCAATTATCCGTCCATGAACATCAGGCCAAAACGCTGCACTGCTTTCATATTCTTGGTTATAAACGTTTATAATCTGCATTCCACACAAACAATTTTCCAACTTCAAGATCACCGAAAACCACTCCATTTGTGTACGCTAAAAATGTTCTAATAGACTGTTTTATAGGACTTGAGTTTCTATAACCAAACAATTATGTGTCCTACATACAAGCATTGCAGCAAATTTAAATGATGTTTTTGGGCATCGTAACAAGTTTTTTGGGACAAATATAAAGATAAAGTGTCGTATTAGTTTTTTACAGGACACTTTTAAGAAATGTCCTATAAACACATCTTTATAGTACACTTGTTTTTAGACATTTTTTTAAATTAATATGACATTTTATTTTCAGAAATGTCATAGAAAACTTGTTAGTGAGTGCAAAAGCATCCTATAAAGCAGTCTAATAGAAAACACACAGACATTTTTGACATCCTATAAAGCCAAGCTGACTTTGTTGTAGCGGTAAAAAGCCTAGACAAACTTTTACCTGATGACGATAAACGACATATGCAAGGGCAAAGAAAACCAGAATAAAAGGTGTAAGAAGTGGCGTGACCACAGCATAAATAAGGCCGATTAGAAAATACAATTGTATTTGAGGTTCGCCCGTGTTAAAACCAATACTTCCAGGATCCATGGCTTCTTCTCTATCCTTTTCGGTTTTAACCAAGAAAAAGTTCTTCAAGTGATATATGATCAACGGTTTCAACCTCAAAATCTCACCAGCAGTACCAGTCCACCCGTCGACCATTACGTATGTTATAAAGAAAGTTGCTTTCATTGGGATAGCCACTCCAATCGTCTCCGGAATCCTGAGATAAACATACAAAAGTTCAAGATAAAACCCAACAGCTGAAGTGCAAAAACACATAAAAATTGGGAAAGTTGGGTACACAAGTCTTTGCATCCAGTCATAGTTGCAAGAAATAGGTCAGGTGCCTGCATACATCTTACCACTATAACCTTTAGACATTTTCAATGGGTGGGTATATTAACTAGAAAGAGCATGGGTTTGATGATTAAAAACGTACTTGTTTACGGACTGCTTTAGAAATGTTTGTAGCTGTTCCAATACGGTCCCAGCAATGACGCTCCCTAGAAACACATTCACAAAGTTGAAAAGATAATATCTTGATGCAGATCTTCTCTCTAGACGTGATATACTCAAAAATCCTTCAAATTTCGACATCGTCATCAAGATTGTGGGTAGAAGGATTAGGAAGATCTTTAAAGCAATCCCAGGTAGAAAACCTTGGATAAATGACTTGATTGTGTTTCTGCATTATACGAACTTTTGTCAACAATTTTCAAAATTCCACAATTGAGAAGATAAAATGAGTCCATGGATGATAACAACTTACATTTCGATTATGGGCTTAAGAAAGGGTGCAGCTTTCTCGATACCTTCGATGTTTGCAAGTGATTGCACGAATGCAATGGGAATTATGAAGAAGAATGTGAGGAAAAAGAAAGCAACAGCCATTAGAAGTTTCCGGATAGTCAAAGAGACGTAAGGAATCGCCAGATTTTGCCAGAATACATCACGTGGCTCTGGGGCCCACTCGGTCAACCATAGGGTCGGATTCCTAGCCTGTTGTGTCTGTGCACAAACAGCAGCCCCCCAACGAGTTTTGAAGGATACGAACGCTGCTGGCATGATAGCTTTCGGGTTATTCACAACGTTTTTCCTCTCTTCAGCTATCTGGATGACAAAATAATCTTCATCATGGCCACGTTCAGTAACCATAAGCTAGTTTATATTATTGAGCTTATTAAAAAAGACCGTTTCTGAAAAAAGCTTCTTTAAATAACGATTCAATAAGCTCCAAGAGTTTTTCCAACTATGCCCCTTGTATTTTATATAAACGGCCATAAAACACGTCCCAATTAAGTCATTTTACATTGTCATCTAGCTTATCAACTAGATTTTACTAGGCATGAATGGTATATCACCTACCAGCTAGCTTATTAGCTAATTTGCCAAACATAGCCCATAGACATTAGAATCATAATTTCTGTCGCAGAACATATGATCTCATAAAGAACTGAGAAAGAATCATTACTTCATTTGAGAGTTTCTCAATTTCAGATATGTGATGTTGTATAGCATCCACTTTCTCTCCCCAAAGTCCAAGAAAACCCATCTGCCGATCAAGAAAACAGGATCAAATACTACATTGTAACCATTCACACAAGAAGCTGGCAAATGGCGAAGTAAAAAAAAGAGCGCATCAAATGGAATGTACCTTCATCATGGGTCGTTTTGATTGATTTCTTGAATATTTATTCTGGTAATAGTCAAGCCAATTCTGCTTAGTTTTCTTCTCTTCAACCAAATCTGCAAGCTTATTTGCATTTAGAACAACCTGCAAAACATTTTTGAGCTTTAGATACCATGCATATGGAGCCTCATTGAGATCCCTTTTTATATCAAATAATACCCCAAAAACCATATAAATTTTGATTGCAACATTTTCTTTCTTGGTTGGCCCAAAATAAATGCAACATTCCCTTTCCAGATGCTGAGAGGAGAACAAAGCTGAACCTGATGAGTGAGATAGTTATCGGGATGGTTGACTAGAAAGAAATGCTCCACAGCTTCACTGACGGATTCATCAGCATCTGGTGGCACATTCTTCACAAGAACCTGCGAAAAGAATCAATTTTAAAAATGTTTGCTAATGACGAAAAAAGTGACAGCAATCCAATCTCGCGAAACTAAGATACAAATTGTAGTTCTAAGATTGGAGAGTGAGGTAGGCAATTGAAAGAATTATGAAAAGGTTGTAGACAACAAGTTTGTGTATTGTTTTGAAGGATGATCCCCTCTATTCAATATATGATGTCTTTTGGTGAGACTGTTCCACTTACTGTAAATTGATCAGGGCGGCGCTTTTCTGATTGAAGAAAATGCAGTCGCATATTTGCGATTGTTTCATATTCCTTCTTCAACGAAAAGCATGTCCAAAATGTAACAGCATATGCCATTATTACATGAGTATAGAACCTGCAATCATCAAATAATGAATTGAAAATTGCATACAAGAAACACGAACTCGAAAGAAAAAGAATTTTCCATGCCTGTGAGAGCCAAGAGGAATGTTTGATATAGAAAGCTTATCAATGTCACTGTAATTTGCTTTCGACAGCTCGAGTGTCTTGTTTGTCCAGTTAACCGGCACCAAAATAGCCCATGTAAGGAAGAGTATGGGAATAAATATTTTCAACCTGTATACATCCAAGTCAAAGATCAAGAACCATTTTCGAATAATATGGTATAATAAACAAAAACAAGCTATCTTACAATTCACAATTGAGTCAAACATGCTCTTAATCACATCATAACTTTCATTTGTTAGTACATTTTTTTGTTTATCATACAGTCTCTCTTAATCAATCACTTAATCATTATGCACTCAATCAATCAGAATATGTCAAACTATTCATGTTTAGGCTGGGCTCTGCAACCACTGAACCTAAACTAGATTGCCTTGAATGAGCCAAGCCCATATGAGCTTATTCAAGACTGAGCCATGTTTGGCGACTATAAGCTAGCTTATTTCTTGGCTTGTAGGAAAAGCACCATTTGATTTAGTCATAAACTAGCTTTCTGAATTGGCTTTTTTCCACTTTTTTTCTAGTTATGTCCCTAAAATATCTTTTTCCAATTAATTTTTCACAGCGTCGTCATTCTATATCGAGTCAACAGGTACGAACATCTAGTTTATCAGCTAGTATAGCTCTAATAATTTCGACAAGCCATTTGAATCAGCCTACCAAAAGCCCACCCAAGATTCATCAAGCTCGAAACTGCGTTTTCCAAGCTTGGATATCAAGATTGACTACACTGTAATGAACCACATCGAAAAGACTATAACAACACAACCACATATGTCCATAGGAGCAAAGTAGCATACCCTAGCAAGTAAATCCGCAAATAAACAGCGGAATCCAAGCCAGCATGATCAATTAGCTCTGCCTCGGGCATTTTTAGTGCATCGGGCATCCAATTAAGGAACTTCATATATGACCGATAATCCAAATTGATAAACTTGCTTACAAATGCACCCGAAGTTGCAGGGCTTGTCCGTAAACCCTTTAGATACCATTTTGGAAAATATACTCTATCGTTAAACGGTTGAAGTCGCAGGAAAGCAAAAGCTATGAGGAATATGAGAGCAGTGATGACATTGATGGCTGCTGCAAGTCCAATATCCTGAAGTGTAGCCATCTATCTACCTTACTCCAATTGGGGTTTAGTTCTTCCTGTTTAAAATTAAGCAAATGATCAACTTAAATTCAAGAAACAAGAAAGTTGCTTAAACATAAAATCGAATCTGATGAATAATTGCAATTCTTGATAAATTGGCATACCCATTAACCCAATAATCTACATCTTTGAAGAAACTACATCAACGAAAAGTACAGATTTCAAGAACCCTTTTTTTCTCTTCCGGCAGAAACCCCCCGGAAAACTCAAACATAAGAAAAGGAATACCTAATTCTTGAAACACACAAACAAACCTTTTCTAAGTTCAATTCGTATGACTGTAAATCCACAAAAATGTGCTACAGAAAAGATAACTAGTAACGACAAGAGCAACAATGATGATAAACAGAAAACAAAAATCCGAACTTGTTTGAAAGTAAATTGTTGAAGATTCAACAAAAAGAAAAGCTGAAAGCTTCTCTTGGAAATTAATAAAGATTTAGCATAATGATATATGCCTATTATAGACATATTCAAACAAAAAGCTGCATATTTAATGCTAAAATACTGAAGGTTTGAAGAAAGAAACTTACACTTTTAAGCAAGATATCATAAGAAAATAAAGCACAGAAAATCCACGTTAGAGGAATGAAGATAAACCCAGATCAGAGGGTGTAGCAGAAGATTGGTTCAAGCTTGAATTAAAGCAAAAGAAGAAGAACATTCTCGAATTTTTGCTGTAAAACGCATGCTTAATTAATATGCAAGCAAAATTATCAATAATTATTATGAGATTAATTTTCAACTGAAAGGATTTTTGGATGAATTGAAAGAGACGAAAACCGAAGTGGAAAGAGAAACTGGACGGTAGACGAATGCGTATGATGCTTACGTTTTGTTCGTCTATTTACAGTGAAATAAAGATAAGTGGGGTGAGTTGTCTGTCCATTGATGCTCCTATAAAAAGAGAATCAGCAAAACTTATGCTTATACCCTTGTTGTTTGAGATATTTTCATTTAACCCCCTTGTAGTTTTTAAAAAAAGCCATGTGTCGAATTGTATTTGCTTTTGTTTTTTGTTTTTTTGTTTTTTCATGCTAAAAGGGTATGATGTTATACTATCAATTTTTGGATCATATCGGTCCTACAACTATTATGAGAATGCTAAATCAAGTGTTTTAGAGGCGAGTAGCTAGGTGATGTCTAGAATCGAACCACTGATCTCTCATTCGTTCACATAATATCCATCTTCTTAACTTGTTTATTTTCTTGTTTTAGAAGGAATGCGATGTTTGATAGATAAATTTTCGATTTCGTGTTATGCCTTTAAAGAAAGTTGTGGTTGTAAATATAAAGGAAGAAAACTTCTTGAACAAAATTATGAGTAGCGCATGCTTGTTGCTAACAAATTAAAAAAACAAAAATAACCCTCTTACTGATTCATATTAGACCCTTGAATGAGGAGCGGCTTTTGTTTGTTTATATGTAGATCAATTTGAATTGAAGATATAATAAACTCATTGCTCTTATTAACCGGTTATATTGGTAACAATACTAATTCTGATGATTTATTATTATTATTTTTGTGGTTGACAAATTAGCAGTTTTGTATGTTGGTTGTTTTATGACATTATGGCCAATAAGATATGAATAATGTATTTGATGCTTGAGATGATGAAAAGTTGATTTAGACACGAATAGTGGTTCATTAGACGGCATAAAAAAGGTTGTGAAGGATATCTTAGATCTAAACCTGCCATTTTAGACCAACTAATCTTGTGGAATGCAACAATTGTTAACCAATAGAACAACATTTAAATGAAAACGTTACATGGTATTGGCTCCTTATGACAACATCTAAATGAGAAGGACTGAAATGATTGTTATTGAACTAGAAGGGGGTTAAAATGCAATTTCATAAAAACTTCTAGCCTCAAATGCAAATACACAATTAATGCTTTTATAGAAAGGCTTATGACATTAAACACTTTTATCTTCCCCACCCATGTGTCTCAACGGCTACTCGGAACAGTCCACCAAATCTCAACCTCACGCGCTAAGGAACCGCGTGTCTCCACACATCATATAATCCAAATAAACAAGTGGCAGAAATTTATTTGCCCAGAAAACTCAAGATAAGGTTTGTATTTTACATGCATAAAAATTACTTATTCAAAGTCGCAAAATAAATGTTTTTTAATGAAATTATTTTTGAGAAATAATAAAGCAAAAGTTTGAAATAATTTATGAGTTTTAAATGATTAAGTTTCGGAATTATTTTTTTAATGAAAAATATTAATTTTTTTTATTTTAAATGATTAAGTATTTCAATTATTTTTTTACTCAAAAAAAGTCATTAAACTTTCTCATTTTGATTTATTAAGTTCTTAAATATATTTTTTAAATAAAATAAACCATCAAACTTTTAAAAATTGGTTACTTATATCATTTTAACCAAAAAAAAAACTACAAGTAACCGACTAGAAAGACCTTAAACCAAAACTACTTATAACGTCATAAAAATAGAGTAAAAAGAGGGAGATCATTGGTAGAGACCAACAGTGTCATAGTCAATATGAAGAAGGGACAACGATGGGATGACAGTAAGTGGAGAGGGGGAGTGAAATGGTTTGTTTGTGAGGGGCTTGAAGGGCGTAGGATTTGGAAACAGTAAACTTTAAAACATTTCTAATCGGTTACAAGTATTGTATTTGTTAAAAGAATTTAGGTCAAAAAAAATTAAAAGTTCGATAGTTTATTTATTACAAAAAAAATATTCCGAGATTTAATCATTCAAAATGAGAAAATTTAATGGTTTTTCATTCAAATAATAGTTCAATGACTTAATCATTCAAAATGAAAAATTTCAATTGTTTTTTCATTCAAAAAAATAGTTCAGCAACTTGATCATTCAATATAGGTAGTTCATTGACTTTTTATAAACTTTTTTCAAATAACAAATATATTAAAACAAGAGAGAATACAACGTTGAGTACTACCGTCTGGTTCCGAAAATTCCAAATGATGTAAAACCCGCACCAAAGAACCATCATCCAAAAATCGTCTAATCAAAGAATACAACAGCAAACCAAGAAGTTTTGAGGTCAAGTTTTATAGTATGTATGCTATAAAGACCCTGCCACTAGTTAGACTCAAACAGAAAAACAACAATAAATTATGAATCACAAGTACGAAAACAATAATTTCAAAAGCATGATAACGAAAGTCACAATTTTTAACAAACCACAACAACCAAAATCTAAAATATACAAAAACGACTTAGGAGCCATTTACAAAACAAGTACAAGGTATATATCTACCTTATTGGATGAATATGACAAATATCGATAATCTTACCTGGTAAAAAACAGTAAAAAAAACCAAGAATTTTACCTAGTTAACAAGGAAAAAAACTTTAATTGGATAATAACTTACCAAGTAATTTATTAATAATATATTTTAATTATCTAAAATGTTACTGATAAAGTAAACGAAGATAGTAAGTTTTGTCTATAAATGTGAATCAGAAAACGTTTAGTAAACAGTTTTTTATTTGAATTAATTAATTTTTTATATTAAAAAAACGTTTTTTTAATTGTGTTCATTAATTTCCTTGGATAATAAAAAGAAAAGAGAAGGATTTTGAGCGCGTAGAAAATCACGCGCACGTGGCAGATCGCGGTGAGGTCGCGTTAACACCGTGTTCCTTTGAGCGTTGCCGCACATCATGACTTTACTTAAATCTATTATTATATTATAATTATAAAAAAGGTGAAAAAACGTGTAAGAAAAAGAATTAATACCACAAGTATATGATAGGATCTGGTGTTTTGATTATTTTAATTCTTGAACATTTACCCTAAAATTCAATACAATTGTTTATTTATCGGGAAAGATTTTATTTACTAAAACGTATCGTATACAACAATTTATCCCGATAAGCGTTAACCATGGTAAGAGTTTTCGTCCTCACTTACCGGGTAAGACTCTCGATTCTTGTCATCGTTCTTACCGAGTAAGATTTTTAGTCATTGCCATATTCATCCGGGTAAGCGTATGGTAAACAGCACCTTACTCTTGAGTCGCACTTGGTACGAGATTGATTTGTTGCATTTTATCACAATATACATCAAATGATGGATATTTCTTCTTACGTTTTTCACCTTAACTCTCTTTCTCATCGGAACTCAACCTGTATAATTTAATCGAGTTTTTGAGCCGCTACAAATGCTAAATTTTTGTATGAGTAAACTACAAATCTGGTCGCCATGGTTTGTTAAAAATAACACTTTTCTCTTTATAGTTTCAAAATTACAATATGATCATTATGGGTTGTGGAAACGTCCAAATTTTAACCTCTTCTTTAACAGCCATTAAAAAGTTCGTTAAATAAGAAACATTTTTGTCATTTTATTAATTCTTTTACTAATCAAAATTGATTTTATGATTTTCGTGATATGGGCTTTAATTGTGTAAAAGACAAAAATCGATAAAAAAAAAATGTCCCACATTTAAAGAATTTTTTTACAGCCATTAGAGAGATAAAATCCAGACGTTTTTGCAAAGTACAATGATTATCTTGTAGGTTTAAAACTATAGAAATGATATGTGTTATTTTTGACAAAATGTGTTATTCTTTTAATTATACATGATCCATGGTGATTGGTTTGAGCTTGTACTCAAAATGTCAAATGTATTTGAAGGTCTCATATTCAAATCAAAAGATGAACAAAAATCTTATTGTGACCATGGAGGTTTAAATGCGGTGACTCTGAACTACCTGCAAAACAAATGATCGTCATATGATTAGTCAGCTCACATAGCGAGTTGAATATTCAGGTTAGTAAAAAAAATTCATTTAAATTTTTTAAAAAGCAAAAATGTACGAGGACTAAATAAAAAACATTTAATTAGTTTTTGATATATTCCTTTGAATAATAAAAGCAAACTTATTTAAAAGAATAAACCTTATTAAGACTAGAATGGTATTCATGTAATGCAGCAAGATACATCTTGATTTTAATATTTCATTTTATTATTTATCTTAGTCGATGTTATATTATGATCTTATGTGATTTTGAAAAAATGATTATGTTTTTATTTTTGAATAAAATATAAATGTGAATATATTATAAAATTTTGACAAAAATATATCAATATTAGTATCAAATTAACTATTTAAAATTCCTATTTTTTGTGTAATTTTTTAATTCAATTTTTTATATCATAATTTAATTTAGGTTCAATAACCAAGTAATTTATATTTGGTTTAATATTATAATTTTCTTATAAAGATAATAATTATTTGTTTTTGTTAAAACTCGATAATTATCTTAATTATATTTTAGACTTTTTACATTTTAAAATGGGATGTTTATCCTCTATTTTATTATGTTTATCTGCAGTTAGTTATACAAATTCAAACATGGAGCTTTAATAGGTTGTATTTATGCATAATTTACTTGTAATATTGAATTTTAAGTAGTATGCATTGATATACATTACTTCATGCATAACAAAAATATACCGATATTCGTATCAAATTAACTATTTAAAATTCCTCATTTTTTATGTAATTTTTTTAGATTTTTTATATTTAAAATGAAATGTTTATCTAATATTTGATTATGTTTATCTACAGTTCGTTAGATGAATTCAAGTATGAAGCTTTAATAAGTTTTATTTATGCAAAATTTACTTATAATCTTAAATTTTAAGTAATATGCATCAATAAACAATACTTCATACATAAAAAATTATTTTTAAGAATTTTTGTCAAATACTTTATGATATACTATAAATAATATAATTGATAAATAAAAGACTTTCAAAATGATTTTTTTTTATAATTTAAAAAAAAATCGATAATTCTGTTAATTTTTAATT